TATATGTTTTTATTGTAATAAAAACAAGATAGTCATAGCATATATAAGTCCATGTTATATTTGTTCTTAATATTTTATTTTTTAGTAGATGTATAGGTTGATAGTGGAAGTATTTATGAAGTTGATTTAGTTGAACAAATATCCTTTAAAAATGCTGAAAATACTTTCTCTTGGCTACTCTTTGGGGATTATTGATTCATGGACTGAATGTATGATACTGTTTGCTTTGAGTAGTAAATTGGTCTTAACCACGTTGGGACTCTCTTTCTTTCTCATAAGTGTATATAATCTAAGTTTGGTTTTAATTGCGTTCAAAAACACTTCATTGAAAACATTGGTGTTAAAATGAGAGTTGAGAGTTGCTAGAGGGGAGATGGGTGGGGGGATGAGGGAACTGGGTGATGGGCATTAAGGAGGGCACTTCAAGTAATGAGCATTGGGTGGTGTATACAACTGATGAATCACTAAATTCTACCTCTGAAACTAATAACATAGTATATGTTAATTAAATTGATTTTAAGTTACAAAATAAAAGGAGATATTTCCTGCTATTAGAATGTGTTAATACCAACCTGTCCATATGTTGTCTACAAGAGACCTGTTTGGAACCTAAGGATACACCCAGACTGAAAGTGAAGGGTTGTAGAAGCATCTTTTATGCTAATGGGCCTCAAAAGAAAGCTGTGGTAGCGATCCTCGTAACACATAAATTAGATTTTATTTTATTATTTTTAAAAGATTTTATTTATTCATTTGACAGAGATCACAAGTAGGCAGAGAGGCAGGCAGAGAGAGGAGGAAGGAGGAAGCAGGCTCTATGCTGAGAAGAGAGCCCAATGCAGGGCTCAATCCCAGGACCCTGGAATCATGACCTGAGCCGAAGGCAGAGGCTTTAACCCAATGAGCCACCCAGGCGCCCCGATAAATTAGATTTTAAACTAAAGACTATAGTCAGATAAAGAAGGATACTACATCATTCTTAAAGGGTCTATCCACCAAGAAGATCTAACAATTGTAAATATTTATGCCCCCAATACAGGAGCAGCCAACTACATAAGACAGCTGTTAATCAAGATAAAGAGTCATATTGATGAATACATTAACTTGCCATTCTCAGAATGTGTTAATACCATTTACAATTTATTTATTTATTTGACAGAGAGAAAGAGATTATAAGTAGGCAGAGAGGCAGACAGAGAGAGGGAAAAAGCAGGCTCCCTGATGAGCAGAGAGCCCGATGCGGGGCTCGATCCCAGGACCCTGAGATCATGACCTGAGCCAAAGACAGAGGCTTAACCCACTGAGCCACCCAGGCACGCCCCATTTACAATAATCTTTAATGTCTTCATGAAACAAAGTTGTTTCAGGACTTGTAATTTTACCAACATTCTGAATTCCCCTAGGAAACTCTAAGCTATCATTCATTTTATTGATGTTCTGGTGATTTGGGTTGTAGTATGAGATTTCACATGGGAATAGGACACCATTAGAGAGAAATCAAATCCTTTGTACAGAACACATAACTCTTTATATTAGCCTTTAGCACTGCACAAGCTGATAAAGGCATGACATGACGAATATTGGACTCCTGCATGTGAGACCAATTGCCTTTACAGCTTATGGGACTCAGGATAGAACTTTCTAATTTTAGCTTTAACCCTTTTGAAAGACACACATGAATCTGGACAATCTACTCATCAATGTAAGTGTAGTCACTGTTTCTTATGTCTGTATTGTGTAGAGTGTACTGAACTCATCCATCCATGGAAAAGATATTGACTGTAAAAAGGAATGAGGGAATATTTTGGAGTGATGGAAATGTTGTGTATATTTTTCTTATTGGAGGTTCCATGACTATACATTTGTCAAAATGATGAATTTTACTATTTGTAAATCTTATTTCCGTAAAAAAGAAAGGAAAAACCCTTATGTTTCAGAGTGGTTATGGGAATTATAAGAGATAATTCTCCTTCTCCATTTTTTATTCTGTTTGGTTCTTTATTATTCTCTGCTGCTTCTATGTCCCTTACAAATTTAGGGCCCATGATAAATGGCAATTTCTTACTTCAGGGCTGAGATACTACAGAAAATTTACGCCTTTATCTGTCTTTATTCGCAATCTCTGAGGCAGATTTTAAATCAACTCATCAACTGTATATTTACACCTCTAGATATTCCAATTAGTACAGAATAACTCAGAGCTGGCATTAGCATACTCTGTAAAATATACCAAATATACTTGCTTAGACTGAATTCCTGATCTCTGTCCTGTGGCAGAGGGAGTTCACAGTATGCGTGAGAGGGTGTATAAAGGAATCTTGAATTTCTAGCCTGAGTCCTGCCTGTGAAAGGCAGTGTTCTATGTCAGTGGTTCTCAAACATGATTGAGCATTAGAATCACCTAGAGGTCTTGTTAAATTGCTGTGTCATATCTCCAGAGTTACTGATTCAGTGGGTCTAGTGGGGAGTGGAGTGGGGGGCGAGGATTTGTACTTCTGACAAGTTTCCAGCTGATGCTGATGTTGCTGATGCTGCTGGTTTAGGGCGATTAACTTGAGAACTACTGATTTATGCTTAATTGAGGTGTTGACAGTATCAGAATTCTTACCTGTGTAGAGTAACCAACATTTTGTTTTTAAACTGCTTCATCATTTCATGACCACTTTTGTATTGGGTAAAATGAATATATATATGTATATGTGTGTGTGTGTATATATATGGGGGGCAGAGAGAGAGAGAGAGAGAGGATAAAACTGAGAGAAAGAGAAAATAGCATTTGGCCAGGAACCACAAAGTATTTAGGGCCTGAAAGAAAAATGTTGCTGGCAAGAGAAAAAGGAAAAAAAAAAAAAAAGAAAAAGATATGGTTAGCTGCATCCCTTCTTTTCAACCTATCGAGTGTCATCATGCTGCATAATTATTTTATCCCTCTAGTAACGGGCTCCTTTTGGTGCTCCCGTTCTGTCCTAAAAGTCCTGAAGACTCTAACTAGGCCTCCTTTGCCCATTGGCCTAAAATATTCTCTTAAGACTTTAAACTGCCTACTTGTTTAATAAAAAAGGCCTGAATCTCACACTTAGACTTAATGATGTATCCCTTTTTTTTTTCAGACCAGTAGTAATTTTCACTGAGTAAAACCAAAATATCATAAAGTACACAATTTGAAGAAGTCTGGGGTGTATGGGTGACTACTTTTAAGTGAAGAAATATAAATCATATTCCTGTACCACTTTCCTAGACTAAGAAGAAATAACTCTAATAATTTTAATACCACTGGGTATAAAAAGATGACTAAAATTTAGAATCTTAAAAAAATGATTTAGAAGTGTTAAATTTAAGAAATTCATATTATTTTATCTTCCTAAATGCCAAAGCAGATACCAAGAGCCGTTTATACAAATTTATTCAGAATTTCTATTATTTTAAGGTTGCTGCTAGTGTGCATTGTGATTTACTGGTATCTGCTGACATATTATGCTTGGAGATGATGTTTTTCTTTTCTTCCACCACCACCCCACTGATTATGGAGAGTCTTTAGAGAAAATAGCTCATGGTACTGGTTGATTACATGCCTTAATTGAATAGTAGCTTGCTGCCAATTATCTGTTATTGCTGCCAATTATACTATTATTAATAGTAGCTTAGTGCCAATGGCCATTACAGTGCCCATTTTTTTTTGTCATATCCACTATGGAAATTAAAGCAGAATTTGTTTAAAACGAGGTTCCATATATATTGTGGATGCAATTGATTTTGAATATTTGAGCCATTTTTTCAATAGCTGGAAAGGTAGATTGAGGCTAGATCAGAATGTTTGGTTGAGGGACTTGAAATGTGTTAGGTAGTCCAGAGGAAATTTTTGGACATATGGCTGGTTAAATGCAGTCTAATCCAGCCTTTTGTAAAATGAAAAGAGAAAAGAATGGGCTGTAGAGATCCTAGTTGAAAGACTCCTGTCACATTAAAGAAAAGGTTAACTAGGGCTAATCTAGAATGATAGCAGTATCAATGAAAAGAAGGAAAGGGGAAAAGTATGGGAGTCTTTCTAGAAGTAGAATATTCATGACTGGATGACAAAGTCAAATCAAGCAAGCTCAATGTGATCAGTCTTCCAGGTTTTTACACACACATGGGACTTCATTTCCTGCCATTCTTCTAGGCCTGCTTATTCCGCTGCAGCCACACAGGGCTCCTTACAGTTCCTGGAATCTTTCAAGCATAGTAGCTACCACTTCTGTACTCAATTTGTTCTTAATCCTTCTGCTATGAAAGTCCTCACTTCCTTAAAGGCTCTGCTCAGATGCCACCTTATCACTCTTCCCTGACTACATATTTAAAAAATCACATACTAGCATTCATTATTCAATTTATCAAAATTGAATTTTTTTAAAGCACCAAAGCACTGACATTTTATTATATACTTGCTTATCTGTTTCTCTTATGTCTCCCTCTTCTTAGATAGTAAGCTATATGAGTGTAAAGGCTTCTTTTTTTTTTTCCCCTTTTATGTCTCTGTCACCTAGAACATGGCTGGTACTTAGAAGGTACTCAGTAAATATTTGTTGAATCAATGAACAGAATAAATACAAAGTTGACTGAGATGGAGATCAAAAAATTATGAAAATATTTCAGGTCTGAAGGATTCAGAGAATAGTGATGTTATTAACCCAGTATGGAAGATTGGAAGAGGAGTTGACTGAGGGTAACAGAGACACAGGGGAATATAAATTTGGCTTAAATCAGCTTAAGTATTTGATACTGGTGAAATAACCAAAGCAGTTCTATGGAATGGGCAATCTAAAATATGAATAGAAGTCTGGCATTGAGGTAAAGATCTCTGAGTCATCTTCATAGAGTCAATACTTAAAGTAATGGAAGAATGAAAAAATGAGAAGTGATATAAAGACAATTATCAGATTTGAAAATTAACATTTCATTTTGGATATTTAATGTTTTAAAGATACCAACTTATTTATACATATTTTCTGTTTGTTTCATAGCTGGGTTAACAACTTTGGCCATGAAGGTCTTGGACTCTTATTGGATGTTCTGGAAAAGCTTCTGGACAAGAAACAGTAAGAATAAACATGAAAAAAAATCACTAAAGGGAAAATTTAAAATTTTTTAAGCACAACATAACATGTTTATTTTGCTTCTATTCAGGCAAGAAAATATAGACAAGAAGAATCAGTATAAACTTATTCAGTGTCTCAAAGCATTTATGAATAATAAGGTAAGTAGTATTTATTTCTGCCTGTCACAAAAGGAGAGAACTTGTTCAACAGTATGTGAAAGTATGAAGCAGATAGTATAGTAGGTGCTTATTCAGTTTTCAGAGGTTCTTTATGATGCAAATTGTCATAGACTTCGTTGAAACATTATTTAAAATATACTTTGCTTCACGGTATGTTTATTTGTAGGTTTTTATAATTATGGAAACACAGAAGTCTGTTTCCAAATTAGATACTACTTTTTTTTTTCATGGTTAAATGTTGAATACCATTTTTACAGTGTTTTTATTCCATTGAAAAGGAAAACACAAAGCTATGGTTTGACTTGTTTGTTAAACATCTTTTAAAAGGTTAAGATTTCTATTTTATGTTCAATTAGTATCTGTGAGTTGATGCATATAGAAGACATTTTTGGATGATTGCAAGGGTTTTTTGTATATGTATACCAGTTGCAATATTAGGGACTTTCTAAATTCTAGACAAGGTTGTTGTCTTTTTGTTTGTTTGTTTGTTTTAAATAATCTTTGCTCAGGGTACCTGGGTGGCTCAGTTGGTTAAGCTGATTTAGGCTCAGGTCATGATCTCAGGGTCCTGAGGTGGAGCCCTGCATTATGATTCCTGTTCAGCACGGAGTCTGTTTGTCCCTCTCCCATCCTGCTGCCCCTCCCTCCACACATGTGCACACACACACACGCTCACTTTCTCTCTCTTTTAAATTAATAAATCTTAAAAAAATGAAAATAATCCATGCTCAGGTTATGAAGTTGCAGTTGTTAATTCTTTTTCTTTTTTTAAAATGATTGTATTTATTTGAGAGAGAGATTGAGAGAACGAGTGGGAGGAGGAGCAGAGGAAGAAGTATACTCTGCAGAGCAGGGAGCCTGTTGCAGGGCTCTATCCCAGGATCCTGGGATTATGACCTGAAGCAAAGGCAAACGCTTAGCTGACTAAGCCACCCAGCGCCCTGTAGTTATTTTTTTATAAACAATTTTGGTACTTTATTAGACATTTCATATATATTCCTTTATGGTAAAATACCACTGACTAATTTACTAATTGTATAATTCTCTTTAGATGGAATTTTAATAATCTAAAAATATTTAAAACAAATAGTTATATCAATAACCAAAAACTGGCCAAATGTATAGTTGTTAATATAAATACATAGTTATAAACAATGTGATAAGATTGTCAGTCTTTCTTAAACATGTAGGATTATGTATGATTTATATATGTATATATTATGCACACATGTATCAGCAAAGGATTTTTGGCATGTGGAGTGGATGCTTGCTAGTTGACATAAGGCTTTTGTGTAGACTATGCTAATTGTGCTGTTCATGGAAGTCTCTTCCGGGAAGATTTCTATCACTATTAATACTGAATTTCTCAACTTCTGTGCCCTTAGTCTTTTGCAACAGAATTATGCAAAATCAGATCTCTTTACAAGAAGGTACTTAATGAACACTACATCTCCACAATTCAAGATGAATCTCTTTCTCAGTTGAGGGAAACAAAGAAATAATAAAACAGTACAGTACTAGAAATTGGGAGATGTAGTACATGCTTTACCACTAAGTTGAGTGGCCTTCGGAAAATCACTTGAAGTTTCTGTCAGTCCCCTCATCTGTAAAATTAGCTGTAGGACCCTTTGTTTTAAATTCTTATTGACTTGCATTGTCAATTCTCATAGCTTATAGGACACTAAATAACTGTAATTAAGATCGTCACTAGAGAAAGTCATAGTAGGGAGATTTCCTGTAGAGCTTTTTTCCATAGGACATAGTTGATATGTGAGTATATAATTACTATTACTTAAGAGTTTGGCAGTTTTGAGCACATGATGGTTTGACTTAGATTATTCTAAACTAAGGTTAACCTATAGTTAGGACATGTTAGTATCCTGGATATAAATGCTCAGAATATGAATAAATGGTGAATCTTAAATTATTGGCATGTGAAACAACAGGCATTAAGTATACATTCAGAATTTTTAAAAAAATAGTATAGTGATATATCCACTTCATGTTGGAATAAATTGTTATAAAACATGAAACTTTCATCTGAAATAACTTAAATTTCATATTTGTTGGTCCCGAGGAGTTTAGATTACTTTCTTCAAAAACTCTTTTCCAAACATGTAATAATGTAATAATGTAATAATAGAATCATAAAAGGATCAAAAGCAAAGCATTGCCTCTTAACTTCCATTGCTGAAATATTGCACTTGTGTTTAGATTGATGGTTTTTCATTATTTATTTCATTTTTATTTTCAGTATGTCTCTATGTATTAGAAAATACTTTTAACTTTTAAATGAAAATTTGAGAATTTAAACAAATTTACTCTCAGTCTATTTGATTTTCAAAGCTATTAATTTTGGTAATTGCATGGTAATCCTCTCTTAGTTTTACACATACATTTTTCACTTATTTTCCTTACTATTTAGTATCTGCTGGCCACCTTTATACATGCTTGCCCATTCTGTTTTCTTTGCTTCTTTTTAATCTTGTCTCTCATTTCTTTTCTTCCCCCTCCTCCTCCTCTTCTTCTTCTTTTTTATTTTGTCCTTGTCTCTGTATGTATTATTTATTATGACCTCTGTTAAATTTACATTTAAGAGCTTTAGCTATGTTCTCCTTCTCCACCCGCCCCCATTCTTTGGAAGTTAAATTAGGCACCATGAAAATATTCATATATTTGTTACTCAACTAAAAGTTACACTTGCAGTGACAATTTTGATCGATGAAATGTCAGATTTTTACCATTAAAACTAAAAAGAAGCAACCATTTCATAAGAAATCTGAGAAATACTTTGTGTGAGAAAGGTCAAAGAAAATACCTTCTAAATGTAGTGAAAATTGAAGTTTTAGCCTTTTTAGGTATTCGTTTATCCATTCTTACAGTGCACACTTTTGTAGTTGTATTTGAGCCTAGAAAACAAATGAAAATGGTGTCTCCTCTGTTCACTCTGACACTTAACCAAAACCCAGGCTCCATTTACCTGGGTTCATAGCTTTTGTAATGCAGCACAGCTTCTCAAAGGGGAAGGATAATAGATGGTATGGGAAAACCTATACAAAGGCTTATTGCTTCTTTAGCTGGCATATAGTATACAAAAGAGCTTTACAACATTTTACCCTTTTTGTTCAGTTTAATTTTCCACACAAACATTGGAGAATTTAACCATGAGTTCTAGACATCTGCAGGAAGACCCAATGACATAAGTAGAATTACTTAAGAAAATCATATCAGGGTGTGCCTGGGTGGCTCAGTCTGTTGAGCATCTGCCTTTGGCTCCGGTCCTGATCCCAGGGTCCTGGGATCAAGTCCTGCATTGGGCTCCCTGCTTCTTGGGGAGCCTGCTTCTCCCTCTCCCTCTGCAGCTCCTTCTGCTTGTGTGTATGCTCTTTTTCTGTCAAATAAATTAATAAAATCATAAAAAAAGAAAATCATATCAGCATGTACTTTACATGTTTTTCTTTGTTAAAGAAATACTGAGTATTCACATATTTCTCCCAAAGCTTTATGGAATTTTTAGGCAGGCTAATGTAAATCATATCTGATAAGGAAAAAAACTCCCAAGATATAGTCATTTAAAATAGAAAAAAAAGATAAGTAACTGAATTTGAAAAACATTCATATAATTAGGTAGAACCTCATTATGGAGGTATATATTTTTAGAAGATCATTGTAAGTTGCTTTTTAAATTAAAGATGTGTTGCAAATACATTTTGAATGAAGGTTCTTTTTTTTTTTTTTCTTTAGTTTGGACTGCAAAGAATTCTAGGAGATGAAAGGAGTCTTTTGCTATTGGCAAGAGCAATTGATCCCAAACAACCCAACATGATGACTGAAATAGTAAAAATACTTTCTGCTATATGCATTGTTGGAGAAGAAAACATGTAAGCATTGCTATATTATGTTAACTGCATGGAAAGTGGCACTTGAGAAATTAAAATTCCATATTTTGTGCTTTTCATTAGATAACTTGCATGAAAACAGTATTACATTTTAGAAAATAATTTATTGGCATTTTATCATATCTATTTATATTTCAGCATTTTTTAAACTTTTTGAAACAAATAGATTTAAACAGATAGAATCCAAACAGGACATTCTTCAAAGTTGGATTCAGAGTGAATGAATAGAATTTTACCTAAGTGAAGGTAAAGTAATCGTTAGAAAAATAGGCTGAATACAGAGACACACACACACACACCTCGCATATGCCCATTATAAAATTTGACTTCTTTAACTCACTGAATTGACTAGATGCTTTTATTGTTCTATTATTTTATTTAAAATAGTATTTTACTTTATCTGCCTGTAATAAGTGAAAAAATAAAGTAATTAGGTATAAAGGAAAGTAAACTAACCTTTTAAAAAGAACAAAAAGACCGTTTGCATTTATTCAAAGTGCATGTATGTGTTAATTTTAAGAAATTGTTGCTGAATGTACATTAGTTTATACCTTTTCAAGGAAATAATATTGACTGAGAAGCAAAATTTCAGATTTGATGTCATTAACTAGTTAGTATGGAACCATTGTGATAAAGAGTAAAATATTTGCTAAGGACACAAGCTAAAATATTTCTTTGAAATTTTGTGTGACAGTAATAATTTCAATTTCAATCAGAACAAGGCTATGCAAAGATTTCAGAATATTCTAATACATTGACTTTTTCATACCTATTAGAATAACATGAGATCTTGCTTAATGCTGCTTAGTGTCCTCAGAGACCAAAAGCCAAACACTAAACAAAAATATTATCAGAGAGCATTAACTCTTACCTTACTGAGAACAAACTAAGAATGAACTAACATATGCAAAAGTAGGAATTCTTTAGGTTTTATAGAAAAATCAGTTTATATATGAGTAAAAAATATTTTTCTTGTCAATTGGATTTTCAACACTTAATTCATATAATACAACCTATTGTGGTATAGTTGTAGCTATACTTTGATAAACACAGTATACTGCATAGAGGTTAATTTGATTCAGACACTGTATAGCAATAGTTTCCAATATTTTAGTTCATGTAAATAGTTGTCTTGTGCTATGTAATTAAAGATGCTTCTCTAATTACCTAGACTTTCCTCTTTCAGTCTTCTTTCTTATTCCATTTTCAAAGAATGTTGATTTTTTTAAGTTGTTTAAGATGTACTTGCTCTTTCTAGTATTTTATTATAAAATCAGTCTATTTACATGTGAATAAAGTTTTAATAATCATAGATGTCATAGTATGCTTAAATCATTATTAATATTTATGTTAACACCTGAAATACCAAACCTAGAATTTTAAATTTCAGTATTTATCAAATAAATACGTTTTAAAAGACATTACCCGGGAAATTTATTTTCCTCAAGGTTTTTTAATTGAAGTTTCTTTTATGTAAATAATTGAGTTTTCATTTTGCTGCCCTAAAATTATTTAAATCTATCAATATTTGACTTGTAGAAATATGTGGATAGGAAAAGAACTCTTTTTTTTTTAAAGGTTATATTTATTTATTTGACACAGAGAGAGAGACAACTGGAGAGGGAACACAAGCAGTGGGAGTGGGAGAGGGAGAAGCAGGCCTCCCGCTGAGCGGGGAGCCAGATGCGGGCTTGATTCCAGGACCCTGGGACCATGACCTGAGCTGAAGATAGATGCTCAGCGACTGAGCCACCCAGGAGCCCAGGAACACAACTCTTAAATTGTAATGGTCTCTATATACATTAAATGCCAGAAAGAAACTAAGACTGAAAGAAAGAGATAACCCATATTCATTTGTGTGTAAGATGGATTTCTCATTTCTGCTTTCCCCCCCACCCCATAGTCTAGATAAACTTCTAGGGGCTATAACTACAGCAGCAGAAAGAAATAATAGGGAACGATTTTCACCAATTGTGGAAGGATTAGAAAATCATGAAGCTTTGCAATTACAGGTGAGTTGGTTTTGTCTTTAGTTGCTTCTGGGGTTTATATTTAAAGTACTCATTTTGTATGACACCAACTCGTTCTTAACTATCATTTAAATAGAATGGAACATAAAAATGAAATTCTTCCTATTGCTTGGTCATTTATAAAAGCTAGAAGTTTTATCTGTTAGGATAACAACTTGTTTAAAATTAGGAAAAGGACTTCTGGTTACTATAAATATGGTATTCAGGAAATAATAAACCATGAAAATTAAAACTTTACCAATAATCAGAGCAACAAGGAAGAAGTTTAGCCAATAGTATTATCCTAACAAATATTGATGAAGTCTTTGTGCTTACTCTAGAAATTTAGGAAATCTAAGCATATCTTTATGCCATAACACAACATTCAGAAGTCTGACTCACCAGAATAAGGTGGGGACTGAATTGCTATTCTTTGGTCAGAGTCTATCTAATAGCTCTGTGTATACCCAGCCTAAACGTCTTAGTTAGAAAATGACAAAACTCACTATCTTTTCTTAGATGGTTTCATGAAATGACCCATTTTATGAAAGATGACTTTGTTCTTGAGCGATGAGAACTCATATTTATTGGCCATATTTGTGGTAAGAGATCATAGACTAAGCATTTTAACTTACATATATTATCTGATTAAATTCTCACAACAACCCAGCTGTGCAGGCACTATTATCATCTCCATTTTGTTTATAAGATGAATAGGTTTATTTAGAGTAGATAACTTGTCTAAGCTGACATAGCTTGTAAGTGGTAGAATCAGAATTTGACATCAGGTTTTTTGGTCTTCAATTTTCATCTCTTTCTTTTAGACAGTGTTTACCATTTAATGCACCATGGGGAACTCTTTCTGAATTATTTTTTTAAACTCCTGTAGTATCATTCAACAAAGATGATGTAGTTTTGGAATATAGGTGAGGTTTGATAGCATCTGGAACCAATGGCCAAGAAAGAATTCTTGAGATGTCTTTGGTGCAAAATGGTGGTTTTTTTTTTTTTTTTTTTTAAAAGCACAGGGACAGGACTCATGGGCAGAAAGAGATGCTGTACCTGGGTTGAGAGGGTTACTGATTATATACTTGGGAGTCGGGGAGGTGAGGAAAAGCCAGGTTTTGGAAAGAAATTTCGTATGCCAGAGAGGACCTGCAGGTTATAAGGACATTTAATTGTTTCTACATTTCCTTCTAGAAATTAAGTTATTGCTAAGAATGTCTTTTTCTTATAAATCACTAAGACATTTGTAAACTGAGGAAGATACTTATCTTACAGGACTGTAATCTTTATAAGTTAACCATTTTTTTCCCTTCCCTTAGTTTAGGGCAGCCAGGTGTGCCTGAGGAATGTCACACATATCTCACCTGAGAGTGGGTGAGGGAGGTTTGTGGGGCATCAGCTTGTGCTTTGTCCTTAGCTTCCCTTCTGCTCTCTTATCAAAGAGAAGATGGTTCCACATTTAATTTTATCAAGTTATTTAGTAGTGAGTGTTTAAATGTTAAAATATCTTATCTGATGTAAAACAATTTACTTTCTCCTTTTTTTATTGTATTATAAAGTATTAGGTGTTTGTTTGTTTGTTTGTTTTGCCAGGGTTTGAAACTATAAGAGATAGATGAATTGATTTGTCCAAAGAGGATGCTCTAGTTTTACAAAACTATAATCTCTCTTTAAATATTTAAGGATCTTTGTTGTTACTTCTCCAACTATGATGATCATTTTGAATAAACTCTTATGGTGTGTCTTTTATATCCATTATATCACATTTTTAATAGTTGGGATATTTCCTTCTATCATTGATGTAGGAAAGACATTTTTAATAGTTGGGATATTTCCTTCTATCATTGATGTAGGAAAGATGTTAGTGTTCAAAGCCCATGACCAAAAAAGAATTCTTGAGAAGTCTTTGGTGCAAAAAGGTGATTTTATTAAAGCAAGGGGATAGGACCCCTGGCAGGAAGAGCTGCACTGGGGTCATGAGAAGTGGCCCATTATATACTTTCAAGTTCGGGGGGGGGTCAGGGATAACATAAATCTCTAAGGAATTTTGGAAGCAAGGTTTCCAGGACCTTGAAGGGGCTAGCTGTTGTTAGGAAAAGGTTATTTATTACTATCTAATAAAACCTTAGTTATGAGACCCTTCAAACGTATATCAGTGGGTCATATGCTTGGGGGATGATAAAGGAATTTTCTAAAGGAGTGTTTTTATGTTAAAGGTTACAAGATCCTGGGGGTCAGCTAAGATTCCCTTTTGCCTTTAGCAGAGCATTAATATCCAGGCAGCTGAGTTCCTAGAGGACTGTCACTCTGCCCATTTTAAGGACTTGTGAAAGGGCTACAAGTAGTAAGGAAATTTAATTTTTCTTTTCCCTTTGTATCCTATATCACTGTTTCCCTTTTTTAATATACTTATAAAATTTATCTCAAAATTTTTAATATCTCTACTGAAAGATTAGAAAACTGTACTTTTTAGATGAGTTCTTGAAATCTTTGTTCTTATTCCTATAGTTGGGCTTACCTAACTAAATTTCACTGGCATTCAGTCATATATAGGAGTTTCTACTTGTCTTGCAATGTTTAAAAGGAAGTAAGTATTTTAGATATATTTAAAGTTTTCATTACTCACTCAGATGACTCACTCAAAACCTCATAGCTGTTGAAGGGTAGAGCTATAATTTGAAACCAGGTGTTTATGATGCCACATTTGTATACTGCATTTTCTGACTTTTAAAATGACACCCCTCCATAGAGTAGTTCACCCCAACCAATAAGGTAGAAATGACAATTGCTAGCCTTCAAGAAATTGGATTGAATAGAATGATAAAATTGCAAATTGTTGACAGGTAGCATATAGAAGAATTACATACATCTTGCTAGATATTCAAGAAATTGTTGAATACTGATTATACATGCAAACATATACAAATCATAATTTGAAATTTCCTATTTTGATGAGCTAACAATTAGTAATTTGTTATATATAGAGCCTGTTAACTCTTACAAGAATTGTGACATGGGTTTATTTATTTGGACTGTCATGTGATTGAAAAAATATCATCTAAAAGTTCAAAAATATATTCAGAATACAGAATGAAAACCAAAAGTCTAAAAAAATAAATAATTAAAATTATTAATTTTAAAATATTAAAATTTTAAATTATTAAAATAATTTTAAAATGTTGTTTAAAATATAATTAATGCTGTATTTTAACAGAATTACTTCCTGAGACTATGATAACATTTTGAGAAGTCTCAGGATACTACAGAAACAGTAAAAGTAATTCTATTAAAATATAGCACTAGTTACATTTTTAAAAAAAGCTATATGCATTTTTCTCTTTTTTAATTTTAAAACATATTGTTAACGTCTTACAGAGGTTTTTTAGCTCATCTTTAAATTAAAATTATGTCCTTGTGGTAGTATTTTCATTATCTTCAATAGTTCAACTAATAGACAATAAATTATATATCTCCATAAGCTCTCTTCGTTGACTTCCCTTCAGCTTAATGCATTCCCAATTCTCACCCATACTACAACACCTTTTGATGTCAGTTATTCTTCAGACTAGCCTCTCATCTTCCTTATTTTATAGTCCCAGTCTCTCAAAGAATCATCTATTGTTGTTTTCTGTGTTTTCCTAAATTAACTCTCACAACTTAACATTTTCAGTTCTTAAAAAGGTTGATAGTGATCCTCTAATTTCAAAATCCAATGGCCTTTTTCTAATCATGTAACTCTATTAATCACCTCCCTCTTTGAAAATTTTACTGCCTTTGGTTTTATGGACCCTGTTCTTTCCTTCGGACTACTTTTATTTTTTGTCTTTTTCATGCGTTTGTCCTCCTCTTGGGTATTTTGTTTTCTCTGGTCTATCCTTGGCTATCTTCTAGTATTATTTTTGTTTAGACATACATACGTACACTTGCATATGTACAGACACATATATTTTATCTTCCTCATAAATATTCTCATTGCTTCTCTAGCTTTATCATCCACCTGTATTCTAGCAATTCCTCATAATTGTAATTCCATTTCATCTCTCTCTCTTTTCAAACCTATATGCCCAAATGCTTAACTATATGGCTTACAGGCAACGCAAAAATGAGAAATTAAAAATAGCATTTATAAGTCATATACCAATATTCTAATACTTTGCATATGTTGTCTCATTTTAAACCTCACAACAGTTCTATGAGAAAGATAGTAGTATCCCCATTTTGTAGATGAGTAAATAGGCTCATAGAGGTTAGATAACTTTTCAAGGGTCATAGTATAATTTGGAGACCAAAGTCCAGATTGGACACTAGGGAGTCTGGTTCCAGAGTATATGCTCTTAACCACTACATGTTACCTCTTCTTATCAAAACTAAGCAAGTAGCCCTACACATCTCAGTAGCTTCTTTTTAAAAAAATTTTAAAAATTTTTTATTTATTTTTTAAATTTCTTTTCAGTGTTCCAGAATTCATTGTTTATGTACCACTCCCAGTGCTCCATGCAAGGCATCTCTGTGTTACATCATATCTCACTAACTCACATATTTTTTTTTTAAATTTATTTAACAGAGAGAGAGAGAGAGATCACAAGTAGTCAGAGAGGCAGGCAGAAGAGAGAGGGGGAAGCAGAATTCCTCCTAAGCAGAGAGCCTGATGATTCCAGGACCCTGAGATCATGACCTGAGCCGGAGGCAGAGGCTTAACCCACTGAGCCACCCATGCGCCCCTAACTCACATATGTAATCACAGCCCTGAGTCAGCAAGGAAACAGTTGTATCTAGGATATTTTGTTTAGGAATGTGGGAATTATCTAATTCATTTCTGAAAGTGTTCTGTGCAAACACAAGTGTTGCTGCTTACATAGACAAACCCTCAGATATATGGACTCATTCTGTGTCGCTTGATTCTTTCCATAGTGGTTCTCAAGTATTGAGATTTTACTCTAAACATACTTGTAAATTAGCTACTAGTGTCCTTATACCATCATATATGAGGAAGTAGC